ATTCTTGTCAACATTATTTATGATGAAACTTATAATTATCTATCTTTTTGCAACATTAATTAAATTTTAAAAATTTTAATTTTAATAATACAATTATCGTTGCTAATTTCAAATGAGAGTCTCGACTCAGTCATCGACTGAGTCGATTGAAAAGAATTCTGTGGTGGTTAAAACCAATTCGGTGTTTTTATGTATTTAAAAAAAAATAAAAAATTTGCTTTAAAAATCAATTACTTTTATTAAAATATAACATATTTAATTTTTTTAATGCTTCGCACAAAAGATTTTGCCGATCATTATTTAAAAGGTTATTATACATAGAGAAACTACGCTCTACGCTACAACTAGAAATTGGGTTTTTTTATTATGTCCTTTTAAAAGACAATGTGCATCAACGGTAGATTTTGACTTCCATTCAACTGAGAAGTCACAAAAGTTGCAAAATAAAATACCACTATTCTCTTTTAAAACACCAGGATGTTCATTAATACGAGAGTTTATGGAAACTTTTTTTTGCACGTTATAATGTTTGTTAAAAGATACTAACTTAATTTATACAAATTGTAAAACACGAAAGATTATCGTAGTTCAATGATCAAAATTCAAACTTAAGAATCTCACGTGATTCTGTGATCTAAATTATAAAAATTATGAAAATATTAAATTCTGTGAAATTATGCGGTAACTAACACAAATAATGTAATTAGATGCATTTAAGAAAAATTCTGCAGCGTTATATGAATCACAGAAAATCATTGTCTCTGCTTTGATAACATCATTCATTAACAAAATAGTATTCCTTTCAATTTTATATTAAAAATCAGTTGTTGTAACCTTAATTGATTATTCCAATCTTCCAATAATTTAACCTTATCTACTTGGTAACATATATTTATGAATTTTATAAATACAGATACAAAATCCTTTTTATAAGATTATTATTATCTGACTATAATCCTATGATTTAATGATTTCATTTCAAATAATACTATTATAATATCATTAAAAATAAATTTAAATAACTATTATTGTGAGGTGAAGAAGGGTTTAGTAAAAAGGTATCAGCAACAATAGCTTCATCCGAAAGAGAACTGGGATTAGAAGTGATTTTTGACAAAGAGATGACAGTTTCAGATTGCTTGGTTTTAGGGTCAAAGCGAAAAGTATTTTTTGAAACAGCAGTACATCTGAGAAAGAGAGAAAAAGATAAAAAAGAGAGATAAGAGAAAGAAAAAAGGAAGAGGGAGGAAGATAAAGTAAATTTAAATTTTTAAACTACCAAAATAAGTTCCATTTACAAATTTCCAATAAAATAACCCAAAATTCCACTGCCACATAACTTAATGGTATATAAATGTCAACTTATTTAACATTTCTTACCATACACTTCTTTTAGTATAGATACTTTATCAATATTCACAGTTTACCCATTATTTACAAACAAATAGTAAAAAGTTGGAAATAAAAATGGTGTATATCCTAGAAAAGCAGGTGATGACCTTAACAATCTGACCTAAAGTGTACACCCATCTCCAGCTGGTATTCCTCCATTAGTAAATAATAGTAAAGTCCAGTTCAATAATGTAGAAAGGAATGGAGTGGTATGATGAATTTCCACTTGTCTTCAATTTAGTAATACCTGCCTAAATTCTTTTTTGAAAAATTGTAATTTCGTCAATAGAATTCATCTCTTTAATATTTTTATATGAATAATATAAAATTATTATATTTTTTAATGTATTTTAATTCAAGGAATTCAAATCAAGTTAAATATAATTTCGGGCAATTAAAATAGTTTCATCATTTCGGTTTCGTCAATTTCGTTAAGAAAGGTAATTTCGTCAGGTATCACTACTTCAATCCAATACAATACAAAATACAAATTTCCTCTGACGTTGCTGTTTCAAAACTTCCATATATCTATCACGAACTTGACGAATTGCTTCTTTAGGACTTGTTGTATTGTTTATGCCACCCTTTCTACTATTAATTCGGTCCACATACGTTGTCCATTTTTGCATAGAATTATAAAATCTATCTTTGCAGTTGGATCATTTATTGGAAATCTTCTTGTATCATGAAATTCATAAGGAGTATGTGGCATTAATGATTCTAAAAAAATTTTAATTTGATCAGTGTGTTGGTCTTCACTATTGTTTATTGGAAATATAATAAATTGTGATATATCAGTTGATTTTATTCCTTCAAATACCTTTTCTTTATTTAGAGTCTCCCCATTATTTAAAATAATTTATTCAAGAAATGAAAGACGACGTTTTGTACGAATAGATTCTATAATATCAAGGAAATGTACAAAGGAAAGTATGAATAATCATAAGAAAGAATGTAACAAATAATCTTTTTAGATCATAAATAATTTTACAAATAAAATATATTCTTTTTTGTTATAAAATGAAGTGATAAACTTACCAGTTGCAATGTTGGAGGAACAAAATAAACGATTGCATAATACAAAATAATAAATAACCAAAAGAAGTGAGCACATGGCTTTTACAAAAAGAAAATTATTTTTATTTAATTCAACTAATAATAGAAAAATACATCAATAATTTATACTTGAATGGGAGGAAAATAATCACGTAAAACTTGGATCAGGGAAATGCCACAGTGCAATATAAATAAAATTCAAATTTTATATAAATGATTAACCTAGAAAATCAAAGTATTTTGTAAGTATATTAAACCTAAATCGAAATTAACAATTTAAAAATACGAATATATTATCAGAATATCTTTTTGTCTTCAAAATCAAAAGGTGATTATCAGAAGTCTAACATATATAAAAATAACATCATTGGAATGGATATATTGAAAAAAAATATTAAAAATAGTATCACACTTACATGTAACTACTTTAGAAATGATACAAGGAAAGAGAGTCAAAACTCATAAAGACTCTTTTATCCATTTTCCTAAATCATTTATCATACGTTGTACTTTAATTGGAATTAAAGATCCATTAATAACGTTGCGAATCCGTGCATCATTCAAGGCATTACTTATGTCCTCTTCATCATATCTATGGCCTATTTATTTCAGAAGATCAAAAAAAAAAAAAATATATCAAGAATAATAAAATAAAATAATGTCAATAATGAACTCGTTAAATTTTGTAATAAAAAGCTAGAGAAAAGCGTAAAAACCTTCCAATACATCTTCTAAATCATTAAAGAGATTACTATTTTCTATATGTAAAGGAGTAAAAGTAACTGCAGTAATAACTCCGTTTTTAGACTTGAATAACGCTCTCTAAATATAACAAATGAAGGATTTATTTAACAAACCCATCGGAACTGATATGATCAATTATCGCATTTACCACATAGCCCCAATCAAATTCTTTTTCAAGTTCGAGAGTAAATTCTGGGGTTTGACCGTAAATCCATTCCCATGTCTATTAATTAAATTAAACAAATTAGATGGATTAAAAAATAATATATTAAAATTAATTTGTAATAATAGATGTTGACCTTGATCTCCTTGCAATACTCGATAATTTTTGGAATCTTAGATATGAATTCAACATCAACAATTGTTGTCTAAATAAAAAAAAGAAAATCATTTAGCATAATAAAAAAATCTTAACTTTGTATATTGTAATTACTTACGCTAAATCTTTCGCTAATGTTGGTAAAGTTATTACAATAATAATCTATGAATACGTCTTTAACAGCCTCACAGAATAATCCGTGACTCACAGTTGAAGAATAAGCACGAAGGTTTGTGACGGGTGATGGAACGGATTCCACGCCTTTCGTGATAAGATTTTGCTAAGGGTACAAAATAATTTTTTTTTTTACAAAATCGAAATGAAAATTTTAAAAGCGTATATATATTACCTTATCAACATTAAGATATTTCTTTATCCTATCTAAATCCGTATCAATAAGCATTGTACCATGATGATATGCTCTACCCGTTATTAATTTAAATGCAGATCCAGAGACGTATCAAATAAAGAAAAAAAGGTTCATTAAAGAAATATCTATCAAAAATTATTTAAATTGTTCTACAATAATTAAGGATATTTTAAGTCCTTGAATCGCTATATCATGCCTATCTGTTACATATGCTGATATACCAAGCTTTGTCGTAAGAGCTTTTACAACCAATTCAGCTGAATGTCTACGTGTAAAATTACTTCTAGGCATTATCAACGTATAATTTGTATTTCCGGAGTCCTTTGATACAATAACAATCGAAATTATAAAGAGAATTAATAGATAATTATTCCTTTTTATAACGAGTAAATATACATAAACAAACTTGTATCAAGTGGGTTAAAATAGGAATTTACATGGAATACCGTACCACCTCCGCTTTTTCTTCTAATGAGCGGAATATTATGATCTTGAAGTAATCGTACATTACATTCCTTCCAAGGATTCTAACAAATGTTTGTATATATATTAAGATTTTAACCATTAAAATACCGGATTAATTTTATATGTAAGCACCTGATTTCTCCCGATAACTACACAGGGATTATTTCTCCATAAGAAAAGTATAGTATGTTGTGGATTCGTATTTCTAAATAACCTTTTCTTTTTAATTTTAAAATAAATATATATTTTGAATAAATCATATTGAATTAATGATATTTAACTAACTGTACCACTCTTCAAATGCAATATTCGTCCATGGATCCATTAATTTTGATATAAAACATTTGAAGTTCTTAATTTCAAACATAAATAAATAAATAAATTATAAGTTAATAAAAAAAGTTATTAAAGGTAAGTTATTTTTTTAAAAAAAAACATTAACATTAATTTCCCCGTTACTTGAATAAGATCGCGAGGAAAGTTGAACATGTGATTTTATTAAAAGGTCGCTAACAATGCGTCGTGACTGCAAGGGCCACATTATTTAATGACTTATTTTCGAATTAAATCTAAAAAAAATAAAATAAATAAAAATCAAAGTCTATAAAATGTAAAAGATATTATTCTTTTATTTATTTATTCTTTTTTCTTGATAAAAAAAGATTTCTTTTGAGGAATGTATCTCCTCTGGGTAATGCTCTTAGAATGACAGTCTCTTTAAGACTCTATTATTTTATTCTACAGCGACCAAAGAGGATATTTTTTTTTTATATAGGCCACACTTTGACTCTTGGAATGTTTGGTTTTAAGATTCTTTCGAGCTTCGATAGGGCCACAAGGTATTTTTCACCAACAAATCCCATAAAGATTACTTACTAGTAATATGTCTGTCCTCTTCATATTAAAAAGAAAATTTAATGATAACTCTGGTTTTTTTTTTTTTTTTCCTTGATCAATATTTAAATACAAATTACTTGATGAGATTATCTAGAAATTTTGATCCGCAGAATATGTTTAAAAAAAAAAAATCAAATTCCCCCAATTAATCAGCTTATAGTTTGTTATAAATGATTTATCATTCGATACTTTTAAACCCTCGAAGTTTCGAAGGAACAGTTAAAGGAACCAGATATTTTGCAATTCTAGCATTGCTCTGTTTGCCATTTAATAGTTTAGCACGAAAAAATGTGTATGCAAAGTCCATTAGAGCGACGCGTTCGACCAGATGTATTATTACTCAAGAGCAAAAAGAAATAATAAATACACAAAATAAAAAATCGTTTTTTAATTGGAGACCGAAATATCCAATTGATTATTCTTTCAAATTTGTGATACCTTCATCATTACCTGACAAAACACGGAATTGTAGTTCTTTAGCAGACAAAATGAACATTGCCACACATTTAAAGGACAATTTAGAACCGAATCGATTAGATATTATAGATGATAAAGACAACGATAACAACAGTAATAATAATAATTTAATACAATCACAAGTGGTACCAAAGAAGAATGAAGAGAAGATTATATCAACCACACTATTAAGAAAAGCACTTCAAACCAACTGTTTTACAAAAATATGGGAAACTTATATGTCATTGGTAGAAAATGGTGATCTAAAATATACGGAAATTCGTCTTATTAATAGATTGATGCGTACCGTCAAAGAATCTGATAATGATCCTGCTAGTCGCTTAAAATATTTTCAATTAATTCACAAAGATATGGAACAAACGGGGATAAAAAAAACACAAGAACAACAAAATTACTTGATAGAGGCATATTTAGATAATAACATGATAGATAAAGCACGTGTTGTATTTGATGAAATCAATAGGTGGGAATATCTTGGGAAACGACCTGTTGGAAAACTTGTCTTCTGCAATGCGTTCAATATGATGATCAATGCTTATGGGATGCGATCATATAGACTTGAGAAGGAAGGAAAACCGGGAACAAAGTCTGAAGACCTTCGAGAAGTGACAAAATTATTTACATTAATGCATGAAAAAAATTTAATACCTAACGGAACGACTAAAACAATTCTTAAGAATATTTTTCGCTATCATTTTGATAATAATGCAATTTCTTGGATTCGAGAGTTAAGAAAGAAGGGAATTGTTGACGCTGGTTTGGAAAAGGAAATTTTGATAATATTATTGGAAAATCATAATATCAAGGAAGCGATTCGTTTTTTCGGAGATATGAAAGAAAGAAATTTGGTACCAGACGTTTATTCATATATTCCTTTGATTCATCAACTTGCACAACATGGTAAAGTTGAAGAGTCATTAAAGTTGATAGAAGAAATGAAGGAGCGAAATGTTCCACTTAATACTGTGGCTTATAATGTCTTGATTGGAGTATATAATATGGCATCAAATTATGAGCAAGCAGGACAACTTATTGAGAATATGTTAAAACAAAACATTGAACCCAATATACGTACATTTGGTCAACTTATCAATACATATGCAAAAGCGGGTAAATCTGATTTGGCTCTTCAAGTTTTAAAGATGATGACAAAATTTGGAATTCAACCTAATGAATACATTTACACTTCAATGATTGAATTATTTGCAAATTTATCAGATATTCAATCGATGGAAAATGTATTTCGTCGCATGGTTGACAGTGGAATAAGTCCCAAAGAGGTGACTTATTACATATTGTTGATGGGATATAGTCGAGTCCAAGATCTAAACAAGTCATTTCAAACTTGTCGACTTATGATAAAGTCAGGAATTGAACCCAATGTACGTACGTATAACGCATTAATTTCCCTTTTCGCTCAAAAAGGGGACACAACTGGAGCTCACATGTTATTCCATGAAATGCAACAATTTGGAATATCCCCCGACGTATACACGTATACCTCGCTTATTAATGCATACGTGAATTCTTCAAATATACGTGGCGCGGAATCGCTCTTCTCTGAGATGAAAAAGGGAAGGATTAAGCCGTTGACCACCACCTATAACGTTTTGATGAGTTATTATGTCGGACAGAAGGATATTTATCAAGTGCAGCAAATATTTGATGAAATGATAAGGGAAAGGATTCAACCTGATAATTTTACTTATTGTTGCCTTATGGATGGATTTTGTTCTCAAAATGACCTAGAATCAGCTGTTTCCCTCATGAATAATCTGCAAAAAAATAAAATGAAACCTGATGCGCAAATTTATACGGTTCTTATTCATGCGTACATGAGGAATGGAAATTTTTTACAGGCAAAGCGTCTTTATGAGGACATGATTCAAAATGGGGTATATCCTACCTTTGTCACATATGCTATATTAATCGATGGTCATGCTAGAATTGGGGAATTGGATTTTGCTAGAAAGCTTTTAACGGAGTTGATTTCTCAATCCACGAAAGAGACTGTAAACCAAAGCGTTTATAAGGATAAAACAATTTTAAATCCTGATATCTTTACCCCTTTAATGGATGCTTACGCGAAACAAGGACAAACTGAAGCCGCATGGGAAATATTTGAAGAGATGATAACATTAGGAGTGAAACATAATTTACATGTATATACTATACTTATGAGTGCGTATTACCGTGGACGAAATTATGAGGCTGTGTGGAAAATGTGGAAAGTGATGAGCAAAAATATTACGTCGAGTTCAATCTTTTCGACAAATTCAAAAATATATGAACAATTAAAAAATTTAGATTTTATCGAATCACAAACAAGTGAAGAAGATTTTTCAATGACATTGGCCGAATCAAAATGGTCCTCGTCATTATTAATATCATTTAGTTTATTGTATAGTTCAATATCAGTCATACAACCGCCACCAAATCAAGCGGTATCGATAATGATAGAAACTTTAACAGCTGCGAAAAAATTTAAAGCTATCGAATTAGAATGGAGAAGATTAGATAAAGGAGATTTTGAATTCGATTGTGTTAATTATAATCATTATATACAAAGTTTAATAATATCAGGAAAAATCAAATTAGCTTGTAAGTTATTAGATGAACATCTAATTAAAGGTTGGGAAAGAGGTTTAGCTTTATCAAATATTTATAAAGAAAAATTTTCCATACAAAGTATAAATTATAGACAAGAATTATTGAAAAATTCTTCAAAATTTTATCCTCATAAAAAAACTTTATTATTATTAGCTAAATATTTTGAAAATATAAATTTTGAAATAAATCAAGGTAAAAATGTTAAAAAACATTTGCAAAATTTAAAAGAATTTGAAGATGAATTCCCTGAAATTGTTAATATCACTCGAGAATTTTTTGAGTCTTGGAAATTAAATCATCAAGATTTGGAATCATAGCATGGTTGTATTAATGATGATGGAGAGAATGAAGAAATTCCCCTATTTATTTCAAGATCTTTCATGGATGAGAGGGATTGATTTGGTTTTGATGGCTGCTGTGATGTGAGATAATGATTCGGTAAATTTGCCGACGTTTCTCAAAAATACGGACTTCTACGATTTGAAAGTCGAAATTTCTCAACATAATATAATGATACATCGTCACCTTTATGTAGCAAACGCGAAATTAATATTTTATTATTAAAAAATAATTCACCCACAATATGTGTATATATATATATATATATATAAAAATATATATTCATTCATAGCTTGCGCCAATTCTTTTTCTAAATAATTTTTCTCTCATATAATTTATACTTGCCAATTTTCACCATATGAATTCTAAATGATCTTGCAAAGCTCCAGCTTTGTAATAAAATAAAACTTCATCGTCCCCTTACTTCGTAGGTCAAATTGCTTGTCCACAAATTTCCAGAAATTTCAACATTTGACCATTGACTTCTATCAACATTAGCTTTAACTTCACTAGCTTCTGATCGACTTACAGGTTCACTATTACCGCCCCTTATCGCCCAAAGGACACTACCAACAAATCCTCTAACCATTTCAACAGCTTCTTCAGCATTTACACCTCCTTCAACATGAACATTTGCTTCAAGATGACGAATTATATGAATCTTTCCTTCATCACTTTCACAAAATAACACTCTTCTTTCATCAAGAACTTTAGAACTAAATAATTTTGCACTACGAAGAAGCCCAAGAATTTGTTCTTTTTCTTGTTCGCTAGATACTGGACAAACGAGATGAATCACATATATATTGGATAATTGATGAAGAAAAGGAACGATACTCTCGTGAAATGCATGATTTGGTGAATCAGGATCAGTAGACGGATTCCATAATAATGTCTATATTTAAGGGGAAAATTGAGCAAAAAAAAAAATCCAAAAACAAAGCTTCAAATTACATAAATAATTGCTCACATTCTTCATTGAAATTGATATGGTTTTCTTCTTTGGTGGTAACAGTGTATTCCTAAATAACCTAGATGCAAGATTCCTTTGATCTCTTTCTGTGCGCGTAACTCTGCGTGTCTCGGGTTGTGATGGAGTCTAAATGAAAAACGTTTACTCAAAAGTTGGGGTTCATATCGAATAATTTGAGTTTGAATATTCGCTTAAAAAAAAAAAATACCACACGAATGGTATGTATTTTCTACCTCATTGTCTTCGTCTCTAGTTCCACGTCGCGGTTGTGGATATATTCTTCTATATACAAATACCGCTAAAAAACTGACAGCAGCAGCTGCTAGAACCGCATAAGTTATAATAGAAGATGTTGGTTTATGTGAAACTGATTTTGAAGGCATTACTAAAAGATCAAAAGTACAAACGCGACCAAAAAATTGAGATGAAACCTAAATTTTAGATATGCATGATTAAACATCCACGTGAAGTTAATTAGTCATATTTTGTGATTGGATAAAATATTTATAATTCCAACTTTGTTATTTCTCGGCAAAAAAAAGTCTGTATTTTTTTTTCTCACCCTTTGACATAATGGATTTTCAAAATAGACCAGGTAAGAGAGATTTATTCAACAGATTTAGAAACCGCGAGATTTGATCTAACTATGTTCCTTCAATTATTATAGGATCGAAAGTAGGTAGCGGAGGTGTAGCTGGCTACTCCGAAACTAATGTGGATAGGCGAGAACGTCTTCGCAAACTTGCTTTGGAAACGATTGATTTGAACAAAGATCCATATTTTATGAAAAATCATCTTGGATCATACGAATGTAAACTGTGTTTAACGTTGCATACCAATGAAGGGAGTTATTTAGCACATACTCAAGGGAAAAAACACCAAACAAATCTAGCACGTAGAGCAGCAAGAGATGCAAAAGAAAACAATAATATTCAACCAGCATTACAAGCACAAACTAAAATTCAAGTTAAAAAAAATTTAGTTAAAATTGGTAGACCAGGATATAAAGTAACAAAAGTTCGCGATCCGATCACAAGACAACTTGGATTATTTTTTCAAATTCAATATCCTGAAATCGGTTTAGATGTTATACCAAGACATCGTTTTATGTCAGCTTATGAACAAAGAATTGAACCTCCAAATAAAGCACATCAATATTTATTATTTGCTGCTGAACCTTATGAAACGATTTCTTTTAAAGTACAAAGTAAAGAAGTTGATAAAGGCGAAGGAAAGTTCTTTACTCATTGGGATCCGGATTCAAAACAGTTTTCTTTGCAATTCTTTTTCAAAAACGATAGGCCTGGGATGTACTCCGAGGGAATCCCACCAGGAATGGAGAGAACTCCTATTGCTAATCCTTTAAATCCTTATAATGCTCCAGCAATGCGTGGTCCAACATTTGTGCATAATTAAAGTTAGAAATTTAAATCTAGATACGCAATCTTGTTATTTTAAACACATTTTCTCAAATATATTGTAAGGTTAGTATGAGTTTCGTTCAAAATATTGCAAGTTCAAATATTTGTAGAAAATTTATTATTTGAAATAAAACTTTTCAAGGTAATTCTAACTTATATAATAAAAAGGTAGCAAATTACAAATTTTTGTTATAGATAAATTAATAATAAATTTATGTTAATAATATTCTTATACTTATTTTAATAATGTTGTTTAATACAATTAGTTTTATTAATATAATTTATAGACATATAATATAAATAGCTTTTATTAATATCATAATTAATAAATAATAATACTTATGTATTTAGTATAGATTATTATTAAAATTATTATTGTAATTATTCATTTATTAAAAATAAGCATCTTTAAAAATAAGTATCTTATAATTTGATTAATATTATCTGAAATAATATATTTTTTTTGCAAAAGTTTTTATTTTAAAAATAAGTATTTCAAAAAAGCTTAATTTTTTAATATAATTTATATCTCTATATTCTATTTATAATTCTTATAAAATAAAATAAATTTTGTTTAATATTGATTCTTTAATTTTTTAGTTTATTTTTAATATTAAAGTTAACAATAATCTTTAAATTAATAGGATTCAGACATATAAAATATGTTATAATTTAGTTTTATTAGTAGAAAAGAGTAAATTCAATTAAATTTAAAAATTTTAAAATTAGTTTTATGATTATTTTAAAATTTACTAGTTTAATTTAGCTGGTTTTTATCAAAAAAAAGTTTATTCAAATCAAATTATTAAATGCTAAGAAAAATTGCAAAAACTAAAAAGTAAAAAGTATCAATTTTGGAAATCCTAAGAAAAAAATATAATCTGTTTTATATATATTTAAAACTTATTAATATAATCTCTTTTAATTTGAATTATTATAGTTTACTTTTTATATTAATAAAAAAACTATTTTATTATATAAATTTACATTACAATTTTTAATAATTATATTATAAAAAAATTATATTATTACATAATTTTATTATCATGAGTTATAAACTTTAAAAAAATCTATATAATTTAATGTTTTATATAATATTACATAAAAATCTTAAAGATTTATAAAAATATTAATAATATAAAATTCTTTATATATTAATTTTTATTTATTAAATTTTATCAAATTTATAACACTAGCTTAATTATAAATTTATTATCTATTTTAATGTTATCACTGAGAATAATTCTTTTATCACATGTATTCGCTAAATTACTTTACTATGACAAGCAAGTTCCTTATTGTTAGACTTATAACCTCAGAGAATCTCATATCCTACAGGTATCCAGAATGCCTTAGAATTATTTTGCTTAACTTTATGAACTTAAAGGTTTAGGGACTTAGGAAAAATGTAGAGAATTTATTTATTCTTAGTGATAAACTCAAAAGCAAAGTAGTGTAGTGTTTTACAATCAAATCCTAAATGATAGACATGTAAATGGAAAAAGTAATTATATTTTAAAATTGATTTCTTTATTTATTACTTGAACTTATAATAAAGCTGATAAAATTAATTTACAACAGAGCAAAAAGCTATTCTATTTATACAAAATTAATTTGCTATGACTAATTAGTTGCTATATACTATAAACTATCTAAATTTATAACTATAAGTACTATAAGTACTAATATAATAATAATAATAATAATAACAAAGATAATAGAGATAATAATTATACTAGAAATAATTAAAATAATAAAAATAACAATAATAATTAAAATAATGGAAATATAGGAAATTAGGAAAATCTAATGAATCATGATGATCCAATAAATCCTAAGAATCCTATGAATCCAGAATTATGCAAATCTTTTAATTTGTGATTAACATAAAATTAATTGCAGTAACTTCTGTAGATCACTTGACAATTCTTTGTAAATCAACTTTTCAATAATAAATTTTTAACCAGTAATAATATATAATATATATATATATAAGCTTGTAAAAAAATTAAAATTTTACTTATATACTAAATATGATTTTTTTAGTAAAATAAGTTTAAATTTAACATTAATTTATAATAATTTTTTTTTTAGATTTTCTTATTTTCTATTGATAAACTCTACAGTGAAACTTAATATAATAAATTCTTAATAGCAAATTTTTAATATTTAACTAATTAAATATGTTAAATACATTTCATTATAATGAAACAATCAGTTAAATTCTTTAAGAAATTCATTATAATCTTATAAGAAAGTTAAGATCTAGACTTTAGAATTCATTATATCAAAAGTTAACTATATAATTCAGCAACTGATTAAAATTAATATAAATCAATAAATTTGTAATAAAAATATAAAAATAATAATAATAAAATAAATAATTGTGAAAATATATGAAAAATAATAATTATATATTAAAAAGAATAAAATATATTAATATAATTTAGAAGTCAAAGAAATTAAACTAATTAAAAATTATAAATATTTTTTAATTTTATAATTAATATAAAATTAGCTCTAATAATTTTTATAAACCATTTTTATTAATTATAATATAATATTATATATATTATAATTTAAATTTTTTTTTATTTATATTATAAGTAGAAAATAAAGCATTTATTTATATGTTTAATACTTTTCCCTTTCCTAAAAATCTTATTATCAAATACTTAATTCTTTAAATATATAATCATTTGTTTTATCTTATTTTTTATAAAAATTTGATTTATAAAAAAAGTATCATGATATTGAAATTTAATTATATAATTTAATTTAATTATTTAATTAAAGATATTTATATTTAATATAAATATTATTATGAAAAATCTATAAATTAGCATCTTATTTTTATTTATACAAATTTTTTTTAATATAAAATTAAAATTATATATTTTTTTTATTATAAAATATTTTACAAGTAAAATTATATGATTTTTATATTTATAATAAAAATTCAAATATTATAATAAAAAAAAATATATAATTTTATTAATAAATTAAACATTTTTAAAGTATTATTAAAGATAAAAAGAATTGTAATATTATGAACGGACAAAATGTGATAAAATCTACATGACGCAGATGATTGATAAATCTAACAAATCTGACATATCTGATATATATGATATATCTGACATAATTGATAAATAAAATATATTAGATAGATTTGACATATATAATATATCAGACATATTTGACACATACAATATATTAGATATATTAGTTATACCTTTCTATATACTATATTTTATATAAATAGATAGCTTTTTAGATCATGTAAAAAAGTAGGATTTGACAAGTCAGTTTTCCAGTAGTTTTAAAGAGGCAAACAGACCTATTGTGTTATATTTTAGTTTAATACTTCATTTCCTTATTTTCTTCTCTTTTCTCTTGTCATATCTTTTATTCTCTTTATTTCTATTTTCTATATTATCAATAAACATCTTACTTGAAAATATAATTATTCGATATCTCATGAATTATTAATCGTGAAATACTCGTATAAACCTTTATTTAAATTTAGTCATAATAATAAACTTGTAAATGCCTTAAGATTACTGTGTAATTAAAAAAAATAACACTCTAATACTCTATCTAACAGTTGTAGTTCGTAAGAATTACACATTAACAATATCTATGATATCATATTAAATGTAAATATCTAAATTAATTTTAAATTTACAATTTATTAATTATTTATCTTAATATTTATAAAGATTTAAAATAACTATTTAACTTAATAAATAAGTTTATATAACATATTATAAAAAATAAAAATACTAATACTTATAAATTTCTTGTATCAAATTATTTAAATTTATATTAATAATTAATAATTATATATAAAAAATTAATTATTAAAATCATAAAATACAACTACTTAAATTATTTATTTTATAATTACTTATTAAATATTTTTAAAGAAATTATTTTTTAAAGAAAAAGTAATTATATAAATCTATTGAAAAATTTTTTTATTGGATTTAACCAAAGTTTATAGTATATTAATTTATATCAAGAAAAATATAATCTTTTTAATACAATATAAAATATAAAATATATATACTAATTGTTAACTTTTAATTATAATAAATTATAATTTAATTTAATATATAATAAACTATAATATACAAAATAAGATTTATTTAATAAATATGCAAAAAAATATAATTAGAAATAATAATATAATATAAAGTTTATTTATATTAATTTATATTAAAAAGATATTACAACTATTTATAATAAAGATTCATCAATCAGTCATAATTTAGAATTAACTTGAAAAGTTACAATTTAGTAGTTATAAATCTATTTTTAATTATACATGTAATTTAAAAATTGATATTTATACAAGTATATATTATAATAAGATTATTTAAAATAATAAATATATTTTTTATAATATATTATAATTAAATATATTTTTTAAGAAAATTAACTTTAATTAATTAATATATATTTAAATATTTTAAATAATAATATAAATTTATAACTGTTAATCTTTAAAATATTTATATAATATCTAAAAAGAAAATTTAATAAAAATAGTTATACAAAATCTTTAATTTAAAAATTAATGTAATGTAAAATACATGAAAAACAGTATATAATTAATAGTTTATGTAATATTATATAATAAAATAAAATTTATATAATGTTTTAATCATTTATAATATAAATTTTATAATATAATATTAATATTTTAATTATATTATAAATTTATAATACTAACCTATTAAAGTATTTTATAATTTTAATATAAACAAATTAAATCATAATAATTCATTAATGAGTAATAATATAAAAATGAGACATAACTTATTAGAATTATCATGATAATCTACATTAAATAATAATATATTTAATTTCTAATATCAATGTTTAATTAAATATTTTAAAATATTATATATTAATAAATTTTATATAATTTTATTATTATTTAATATTAAAATTATCATAATAATTCCAATAAATATACTTTATGATTTT